GGCGTGGAATCGCCGGTCTCGATCCGATAGAATCGATGCGAAGCTTTCTGCCGAATACTCTGGATGCTTACGAATATTCAGATTGCTGTTCGGAAGTCGTCCCGCCGAGTAGCTGACCGACGTACCACAGGAGCGCGACGTCGCCAGCCCTCGGAATTTGGTACCGGCGTGAGAGGACTCGGGTGAAACTGGAGGTCACTCTCGACTTTCAAGCTCTCGATTGTCTTCTGATACTGTGCCGACAGAGTGAGCTCGATGATCGGTTTCTCAAAAGAATAACTTAAGCGGCCCAGGACTGCCTGGGACGCGAATTGCCTAGTGACTGAGCTTTCCGAGTTCCGAGAGACCGCCAATCTCCTTGCCTGCGGTTCCCTTCAGTCCCTCGCGTTTCTCCATGATAGCCCCCTGTTGAGGTGGAACCGCAAATTATTGTGAATCCAGGAAGCGCGGTTCTTTGGGATACCTAGTCGCGATTCATGACCGCGATATTTCATCGGAGCGGTCCTCGATGACATTCCAGGCTCGTCTGGCAGCGTATTGATCCCTGCTCCCGAATGGAGTGAACGTGTGACCGGAATCGAGGCCAAACCGGAAAATCGGCCGATGCGACCCTTTGAGCAATTCCCCAATCTGAGCTCCATAACCTGACCATTGGGCTGCAGCCGATTACACACAGAAGCAGGAAGTTCCCATTCATCGCATCTCCGGTGAGACTTTTTCCCTACATCCTTCCCGGAGTCGATTGAAGAGTCTATCGCCGAAAAGCTCCTGGAGGGAGCCGGCTTCCTCTAATCGACACAGGCACGTCCTCCGCATGTGAGATCGACAGCGCCCCCGGCCCCCTTCCCCAGAATACTGCCTCATCCATTGCAGAACTCGATTCTTGGGCACCCGGATCCCCAAAGGCTCTTCTCTCAAGGCTCTTTCTTCTCTGGCGAAAACTCAGAAGACAACGAATGCGGAATCGAATCTGCAATGATAGCGGTGAACTTCCCGATGTGGCAGAATAACATTGAGCCATTTGTCTGGCTCAATTCCGCGAGGCTTCGAGCTTTCCCATTACTCTTCCTTCAATAGTCTTTGCGAAGCGTTTCGATACCCTTGCGCCAGAATTCGCATCAACGCATGGACGTTGGTGGCGCTCCGGGAGAAAAAAATCCTAATACGATTTGAGACTTACCCGAGACTCCTTTCCCGTTATCTAGCGTCGGGATTGACCGGGGGAATGTTCCGCGCAATCTCTATCCGCTCCCGCGCATTCGTTCGCAAGATAAGAGGGTTCGAGAATGGGGGAGTCTGCGTGATCACAGCTATGAACGAGTCCAGTGGTAGACATCGGGCTGCGGTGTAAGAGGGATGCGCTCGTGATTGTAATGTGATAAGTAATCAGACACGAAAACCCCACGTCGATGCATCTCCCGTCATGGAGTCGTGGCAAATCCGTGCTGGATGAAGATTTCGCAATTCCCCCGAAATCTGGTCCCTATAGCAGTGAATCACGGTCCACGAGAATGAACGGGGACACTCGCTCGAGATTTCGCAGAGCAATATGTTCTCGAGCCAAGTGACTTCGACTCCGTTGGGTTTGATTCAAGAGTGGCAACACAGTGGGAGCGGCGACACTGCAGCATCATGTGAACACAGACGAGTGGAAACTTCTTGGAGCGCTCCACACGGAGCGAAGCAAGCCCCAGTCCAATGCGAGCTGCATTCTGAGACGCTCGACAGACGATTTTCGCCTCGAGTCCCTCGCTGATGCGGCGGCCAGCCTTCTCTCGTTTTTCGTCCCGTCTTCGCTCCTTGTGTGGTTTAGGCTCACAGTCAATTAGTGGAGCTTTCAGCTTAGGACGCATGCGGCGGGGGACGCGATGGGGGGAATGGAAGTCAGGCGATAATGAGCAACTCGAAAGACTCGTATTCTGGCGGGAAAAATCCAGTGAGCAAATTGGAAAGTTAGCGGTTTCTGCTACAGCAGTTTCCACAAACAAACTCCCGAGCAGAAACTCCCCTTACATGGCGCGTTCCCCTTGGACTTTTGATCACCTTCGGATCAATCTGTCGCTCATTGCTTGACATCCGTGAGCATGCGCGTTGGAGCTCTTCCCATCTTATTCGCAACCAAAGAAGACGCTGCTCCGAATCGATAACGACAGCTCCTTTTCCTGCGTAATTGCCGACAGTATCTTAGTTAGGGGAACGAGGTGGTCAGGATAACGAGCCGTGGAGTTTTCAGCTTTCGAGGGCCTGGTCGGATCTCGCGGAAGCGTAGCGGATTCGGAAAAGCCATTTTGTCATTCGCAGAACACTTTCGCGAAGCAGTTCTCGTAGTCTTTTGCTTCCTTTGATGGCTCTTCTTTCAAGCCGTTCACTCGACTTCAAGACTTGTTGGACGTTTGCTCTGAATGGACCCTTGCTTCTGAAGTCCGAGTTCCGTCCTCGGAAATGACCATTTTTAGCCTGATTCCCTGCTTCTTCTTCCCTTTAATCTCGGCCCAGTCTCATGAATGGGACGCTCTCATTACTTTGAAGGGATCGGCTTGAGTGCTCGTCTGTAATTCGAAACACTCGCATGCTACAGAGGCGATGCACGAAGGCTGAATTTGTTCGTGATGTCATCCGAACTCTGGAAATCGTATGTCTTGCATATGGGCGATTGCATATCTAGAATTCAAAATTCAAGAGTTCCCTAGCATGGGGAGAGAAAGGCATTCCCACAGAGTATGCAGCCGTCCATTAGTGGGGAGCTTGAGCCTTCTCATTGCCTCGAATGACTGTCCATATTGTCCCGGAGGGGCGACGCGACAAGCTTCGACGTTAATAGCTTTTGTCTCCGTGTGCTCTTGTCCGCTCGATGGAATCGATTCCGAGGCATGGCTACACCCCAGCAGCTCCCAGCTTCATCTTCCTCCTACAGATGCAAAGCCAAACTTCTGTGTGGCCCATCCCAGCCGTTATGCCGCGCCCTGTGCTTCATTCGGTTACCCGTTCCGTCAGATAGCTCTTGCGCCTGAAGCATAGGCTATTTTCACCGGGAAGCCGCATGACCCGACGAGCCATACGAGTTCCTCTCACCACTCCATCGAGAATTCTGGTCGAGGAGCCGATGGGACCTAAGACATCGAAAACCCCAGATGAGACCCCGATTCAAGTTCTCACGGAATGTAATCGTCATCATCAACCAGAGGCAGCTTGAGATGAGAACCGTACCGAGCGGGAGACTTTTCCAAGGACCAAGCCCTAGCAGGCCGAATTATTCCTTCCGAATCGACTGATTCATGTTCTTTGAGAATACAACGGAAAGACGGAAATGGCTTCGGTGAACGGGTGCATAGGTTTTCTCAAGACGCTCCCGGAACCGATGGTAAATCCTTTCACCAAACATGCGTGGCATGCAGAAAATCGGATGCGGAACGGACAGGAGCACTCTTCCTGTCGTGAGCCGTGCGCCGTGAGGGGGTCAGAGGCTCCTGATAGTGAGTTTCGAGAGAGCACTTGCGCGGATCATGCTGAGTATGGGCTTTGTAATTCGGGAGGAGAGCCGGTGCGACGGAAGAGCCCACTTGAAAGAATCTGGCGCTGAATTCCTCCCGCTGATGGTACCCTCAAAGGAATGATTCTGGGGGGTTCCGCTCCACCTCGGCTTTTTTCGGGATCCCGCATCGATGTCGCCGTCAAATACCTCTGCGGGAATTTTCTGATCGATTTGTCCAAGACTGATTATCTTCAGTAGCCGCTTGAGAGCTTGCGGCTAATTCCTCTATTTCGATTCGATCGTATTCATCCAGCAGCCCGTTTCCCTGAAAACTTTCCTCTTCACGATGGAATACATCACGCTCGCGATTATGACGTGACGGCCAGAGGAACATTGCCCTGACGGCAAGAAGCCTTTGATCCCATCCACGCAGGATTGCACCTAATATCATGAATAAATCCGGGCTCCCGTACGCTCAAACATATGCAAGTCGTTGTAATCTGCGACAACTCATGCACTTGTAGCGGGCTTCCCGTAAAGGTTGCAAGCAGTATCCGTCTCAATTCTCGCGAGCGTGTCAACAATCTTTCGGAGAATCTTTTGCCGGAATGGCAAGTATATGATTCCCCCTGTTTTTGTCACTTGCCACCAATCATCGTTCTGTGTAAGGGACAACTCATAGCGGTAATTGTTCCCTCAATCACGCAGGCCGATGATGTGTTGATGGTCGTCTTCTCCCCCTCATAAATATCTTCAAGTTCTCTTCTCAATATTTCTTCCTCACTATCACCAATCATGAGTTGAACACCGATCAAGCCGTACTCGTAGCGACTTCGAGAGTTGCGGCTCAGTCAGACGCGAAGCCTGTTTCATGTACGCCGCGGCGCGAGGCTCTGCTCCTGCTTCCTGAATTCTCCGGCAGTCAGGTTAGGCTATATCCGTATGAGGCCTAAGCTGACGATCGGCATCAGCTCAATTCAGAAAAGAGTGGTGACGGTATTGCAAGCATGGCGACGAACTTCAGTGATCTTTAATCAAATAAAGACGAGAGATGGCGTCAGCATCAACCGTTCTCCATTGCGATACTTTTTTCCTTTCGAAGCGGAACGGAATTCTTCCCGCTGCCCCTCCCACGGCTGAGATAGGTTCCACTCGTAGGAGATACCCTCAGTTTGGTCGAGGGACTTCAAAAATTTGACTCTCATAGGCTAACCAGCCGTCGAGCCCGGCCCAAGGCCGCGATCTTCGAACAAAAATAAAGAGAACGGTATCCGCCCTACTGAATGAACTCCGTGCTCTGCGAACCACAATCGAAGCACAGCGTACCTTACAATTACCGTGTTTCCCCGAATATAAGTCCTACCCCGAAAATAAGCCCCACACGAATTTTCGGGCTCATCGCTGGAATAAGCCCTACCCCGAAAGTAAGCCAGCCCCAGCCCGAAAGTAAGCAATTCGGTCTGCGAGTCCACATTGTAGGTATTCAACCTCAGAAATAGCGATAAGTACCATATAATTGTCCCGAGACATGAAGAAATTTCTCGCGAGTAGGGGCGTTGATCAGATCATGATTCCCGCTGGCAAGACAGGTTATCTTCAGACGCTGGACTTGGCCATAAATAAACCATTCAAAGATTATCTGCGCTCGAACGTCAACGATTTCATCGAGCACCGTCTGCAGAGGAACATGCGGGGTTTCGTGAAACCCCCTCTGAGTGAAGTTGTCTCGTGGGTCAGGAAATCTCGGGGAACGATTTCGAATGAGTGTGTCGCGAATGCTCTCCGCGCAGGCTATCTCGATAAAAGTCATGCCTTTGAGGACAGTTACATCGGGAAACACGAGCGTCTCGGCCCAAGGGATCGCTCTGCGATCGAAAGTCAGAGGCTTGAGGGGGTTCTTCAGGCTTTAGATTTAGATTGTGAACAAGACGTGACAGAAGAGGATGAGATTGTCGTATTCGATTGACGATCATCGTGGTAATTTGTCGAATTCGGATTTTTGTTGTCATTCTGATTTGTCTCATAAGTTGAAACAAACCCTGCCCCGAAAGTAAGCCCTCCTGCTTTTTTCCGGGTAGTTGGCGAATATAAGCCCCGGCTTATATTCGGGGAAACACGGTAGTACCACATGAGTTCCGAGATCAAGTAGGAGGAACTGTTTTCTGATAATCATTTGGCGGAGGGGTAGAAGATCAGAAAAAAAGAACATCAATTTGCACACCGCGGGATCATTCCGCAACCGCCGAATCCCATGTGCGGCGAAATAGGTGGGGAGAGAGAGCTGAAAAACAGATGGATTCAAGGTAGCTCCTAGGAGGTGCTCCCCAGGTATTAAGATTGGATCACCGTCTCGAGCTATAGGAAACCTAGCCCGGATATCGATGACCAGTCGTGGATCGTGAAGCACAAGACTACCGCTTCCACGAGCGAATTCTCGGCGGATTCGGGCGCAATCCTGCCCGCACGATGACACCTACTCCGACTGACTAACCTTGAGCGGAGAATCCAGCGATGCAGTGTCCGTCATTCTATGTATTCTTTCTCGCAGCTATGCTCCGCGAGAGGATTCTACGGGGTGGTTGCTGAAGTTATATCAGGTTGCATGCATGCGGATACATGTTGCTCCAAGAAAGGACTTTCTCAATCGTCTGGTAGGAATGAGCGGCCATCCGACTCGTTCGGTATCGTAAGGCGGAACGAGCCACTATGCGTCAAAGTGATTCCAGATTGCTGCCATGGACTGACTCCACCGAATGATATGAGGCGTACTCTGAACTCGTCTTGAAGGTTAGAAACGTTGTGCGCGGACGCGCACTGAGTCTCCGTCTCGTCAAATCGCTAGCGAAATTGAGGAAGGTGAGCTCGACATGTCCCTCCCGCAGTGGCACGAGCCGTCTCTCTCGAAGAGTGACACGAAATGCCATCATCTCAACACATTTGGATTCCCGAAGGATTCTCTGAACCTCCCGGAGGATAATTCAAAGGGTCGGACACGACATAGCGAAGAGTCGTGGGAGTTTCCCGGAGAATCACGATCATCTCGGTCTTCAATTAGGAGGCTCCCCGCGTGATCAGACTTTTCAGGAGTCGCTGGGCGAGAAATCTGATTAGACGGGGCCCGCCGCAGTGGACTCCAGGGAATAAGACTATGTCGTGAAGCCGACTGCTGAAATACTCATTGGACCGCTTCTGACGATATTCTCGAATAAATGTTTTGCATTGGAAATCAAGAGGCACGCAGACTTTCGCGGTGGGGGACGGCACAATCCTATTAGTTTCCCGAGGGGCCGGGAAGTGTCCACCCGATCCTGCTGCTATTCTTGGATGTTTTTTCCAGCGACTCATTCCCGCGGTGCCGACTGAGAGAGAGCGCCCCATTTCTCCGCTCCTCATCCTCCTGTTGTGACGGCTCTCTTCGAGCGCAGCATCTTATCGACGCGAACTTATTCGATTTCAAGTGCACTTCGGCTCGAGATGCAATCTGGAGGTCGAGTCGAGCAACGGATGTCGAGCTAGCCGCTCGACCGATAAACTGGTTAGCACTTTCCACTGGATTGTATCACCTCGAGCTTGCGGTCGATATTCATTTCTAGCTCCCCGCTCTTCAGTCCACCATGCATCTCACTGCGATTCTGTTCTGTTCTGTCGCGCTCCTCGTGTTCGATGCATCCCCCGCAATGGCAGCAAACGGAGCTAAGTTGGACGACGCCATCGATGCCGCCAAGGAACGCGCGAGAACGTCTTACCCAGCAGCTAAGAAAATTGAGCTGGACTCCGTCTCAGAATCCGTGAGCATCTTCTAATATTTCCTTTGAAAGTATCGGAAGCCGCCATCAAGCTCGCCGAGCGGTGAAGAAAGCCACAACCCGGTAGATATCGTATTTAATAGTGGTTAGAACTCGGATCTTGTCTCTACTCACTTCTGTACTTGATTCGCAGAATCCCAACTCCCCAAAATATGGAGTGACTCTCAACATCGATGGACAACGCTGCACGATCATGTACATGAACGACGAGAAATCCGCTAAAAATTTGAAAGTTCTGAGGGATTTTGAGTGTCAGTGAATAAATTGGAGCTCTCCTCCCCTGGAGAGTGGCCATGTCCCCCGAGAAAGTTCAACGAGATCATGAAGTTAGGAAGTTAATCTGAGAAATTCGCCTGAAGCATCTGGACGTTGACTCGGTCTTCTTTCTCATCTGGTAGGACCCAGCGGTTACCATCGATGGAACGAGTGCCGGACGAAACCCGGACTCGACTTCCATTGAACGGAATTCCAGACAAGTTCCCTCCTCTGGGGTGCAAAGATTCGTGGCGGATCGGAGCGTGTGATCCACGCTTCGCTTCGGGAGTTCCTGCGGTCCTGGGAGAAGTCCAAGCTAGATTTCTTATTGACAGAGAAGCGTCATCCAAAGGAAGAGGTCGCGACGCTCCATCGATCGGAGGTTTGAGGTCGCATACTTCTGGCGGGGGCGGCGACAACAGCCACCTCCGCTGTCCACCTTGTTGGCCGAGCTCGATATCGAAATGAAAACACACCCGTGGCGATCGCCTCCCAGGAACCCGGCAGATCGTCACGGTATGATCGCCTGCGATGGCGAGCCCGACTCGGGGACGATTCTCAGACGGTCGAGCAAGGAAATTTTTTTTATTTTTATTTTAATCGTTGATAATTTATTAACCCCCGATGAAGAATGCAATGACAGTACGTGCCTGCTGTGGAATTAATCCGTGTTACAGTCGCACGGAAAATATACGTCGTCAATCGATTGGGTCTATTGCCGGGGGGGGGTTCTACCTAATGGATATCAGTTTCAGAGCTAGTAGAGGATTCTTCTAATTTCATCGCAAGTAGTTGTGGCGTAGTAATTTTTGATTACTTCTCTGACGAATTCTCTTCTACAGATTAGGTGATTGTCTGTATAGTTGCGAACGTCGGGAGGCAAGTTGTTGTACAGCTTATTATTGAAGTTTGGGAAAGGGGTTCTTCTATTACGAGTTTTGGCGAGTTCAGTGAGAGCCAGGCGACCCTCCGCTTTGAAGCGGGTCTGGTGCGTTCTGGTCTTGGGAGGAGGGTTCGTATAGGATTCAGGCGATACACGGGATTAAGGGCGTATAGCCTCCTGAATTCCAGAATATTCAGACTCTTGAAGAGGGCAGAGGAGTGCTCCCTGTGCCCCTTGTTCAGGATGATTCTCACCGCTTTCTTTTGTAGAATGTGAATCTTCGACAAGAGGGTGGTCGTCGTGCCTTCATATATGTGGATCATGTACCGGACGTGGGATTCCACGAGGGCAAATATATTGATCTTTTGAGTGGTAGAGAGGCCACGTTGCGTATTCTCGCGAGAACCGCGATACCTGAGCGCATCTTGGAGAAGATTGAGTTGACATGAGAGCAAAATTTCGAGTCATGATCTAGAACGAGCCCTAGGAACTTGTGGGTGTGTACTGACTGTATTGTCCCGCAAAATATCAGCGAAAAACTTCGCGGCGTGGCACACCTTGCAAAAAGACAGGGGAGGGGGCGAACACAGCTTCGAAGAACGGAGGAAAACTGAGCTTGCCCCCTCAGCAACGGGCGAGTTGCCTTTAGAGCTTGCCGTGTCATGTCTCCGATATCAGCCAGCGTCGGCTGTTGTCGTTTTCCGCTTTCGACGGCTCCCTCGAGCGCGGCATCTAATCAAGGCCGAATAATTCGCTCACTAGTGTGCCCCGGTACGAGACGCGACCTTAAGCTTGGACCAAGCACGGAAGTGGAGCTGGCTGGCCAATCCATCCTGAGCTTGCCGTCTCTTTCCTACGGATCGTGCTGTCGTGAACTTGCGCCAGATATTCATTCCTCATTCTCTGTGCCTTGTTTCACCATGCGTCTCTCCGCCATAGTGTTCAGTCTGGTTGCGGCCCTTATGCTCGACGTTTCCACCTCGGCGGCAATCGGCGATCGTAAATTGGATGACGCTATCGATCTCGCCCTGAGCCGCGCTAGGTCGTCGTTTCCAGAGGCGAAAAAAATCGAGCTCGACTCGGTCTCAGAATCCGTAAGCGTATATACTCTCCTACTCCGCTGAACTCCGAGTAGCCGATCAAGGAAGACAATGGCTCACGGGGAAATCCCATGATTATGAACATTTATTATGCTTCCCCCTCGGAGTGACATCTCCGGGGTACTGACCGACAATGAGCCAAGGACCTTTCTTGCAGAATCCACTGTCGCTCAAATACGGAGTGACTCTCAATGTCGATGGGAAGCTCTGCACGATCATTTTTACGAACGACAGGAAAGATGCGAGCAAGCTGAAAGTCAATAGGGACTTCGAGTGCCATTGAATAAATTGAACTCATCTCTCCGATTCGCGTGATTGTTTTTTGGAGAGAGCACTTAGTCCGGGTCGTGCAGCACATGATCACCCAGCGGAGACGTGCGAGAGCTCTGTCGGAGACCCTCTGGCTTCTTCCGAATAGTTATCCAGAGAAGGATGCTGCGTCCTTCCGCTCCATCATGATGCGTCGCGGAATGGTGCTGGACAACGGTCGCCTTAACGAGATCTGAAGCCCCACGAGGAAGCCCGCCGGAGCCCCTCAGGATTCCATTGCCCACAAACTCGATCCTCGTCCGGAATTCGGTGCGCATTGGAGTTCGGTCGCCTGCTACACGATCATATTCGCCTCATGAGCTGACTTAGCGCAAGCGACCTGAATAACGAAGCTCAGCATACCGGTTAGCGGTTAGTGTTGTTACCTCAACGTATTTCCCTCTCCCGAGGTATTTTCTTGAAATTTTTTCCATCGGAGCATCTGATCCTGGAAGATCGTGCCAAAGGGGAACCACCTCGAAGTACAAAAATCATCCCTCCGATTCAAACGCGTCATAAACATTCGGTCGAGCACCAAGAACGAAGTCGATGGTCGATGGGACCTCCGCTACAACATCACCCACAACAACATGGTCAGCCGTGCTTCGGCTATCCAGGCCAGCAGCAGCCCCAATATCCAGGCCAACAGCAGCAACCATATTCAGGCCAACAACAGCAACATTATTCCGGTCTGCAACAGCACCAGTACTCTGGGCAACAACAGTACGCGGCCCAACGGCAACAGCAGCAATCTGGCACAAGTCAGCTTCGATATCAAGGCCAGCCACAAGAGCAGCCGCTACAATATCCCAACTATGGATCCGATCTTCATGGGAATCTTTACGGGCAGCCAGGCTTCGCCCCGCTACCCGCCTATGGCACTCGAGGAGTTGCCCACAAACAACGTGAGTTTTCCCAGTTATCCGAAGCTTTCTATCAATGTCCGATCCCCGAGCGATGCGTATTCTCTGCGGGATGGTCGAGAGCAACGCCCCGCGCGGCTCAGTAGTGGAGCCGCGCGGAGGGATCCTCGAAACACTGTTGATAGGACTTCATCCGAATCGAGGCTTTCCGATTGCGAGGGACTCTCGCCCGGCTCTCAGAGCTTCTCCGCGAACTGGACTATTTCGAAACTCTCAGTAGACACATTCTTTGGTTAGGTAGGTGAGTATCATTAGATTATGATAACTCGGGGCCGAGGGTCGGTCGTGGATCCCGATGAGATCGGCTGGTCCGCCCCTCGTGCTCAGCAAAAATCTGAATATTGTCTGTGCATGTACCGACACGCGGACAATTGTGCGAATGAACCTTGGACGACCGGGGATTCGATTGAGTATTTCGGAGGCGAGGATTGAGCTAGACATTTCGTCCATCCGAGGACTGAATCGACCTCAACCTTTTCCTTCCCAGATCTCGACAGCGACAATGAATTGCCGGATCTCAGCGATATCATGGACTACGTCGATGTCACAAATGGTCAGTAAATAGATCCTCGGGGAGCGGAATGAGTCGAGATGTGGACAAAACTCGGGACTCGAACGCCACGAATGGGAGCGGTTTCCCTCTGCTGACGGAACAATTCCTCATCGTAGGTCCGAACTCGCCGGAAACAGCCGCGAGGGATTCTCCGCCGAAAAGTGCGAAGATACGGCGTGATACGCCGGAAAAAGGCAAAGTTAGGAAGGAAGCAGCTCCGAAAAAATCGGTCATGAACGCCGATCACGAGTTGAAGGAGAAGACGCAAGCGAGGGAAGAAGATGGAGCCGCGAAAAAAAACGCGGTGCCAAAGAAGAGTGATGCGGTCAAGAAAGAAACGAGAAAATCCAGCCCTCGCTCTCCAGGCGGCAAAACACGCGGGTCTACCTTCCCGGAGGGGGTGAAAAAGAACAAAGCGGCGCGGCCGACAAAAAGGTCGAGCGCGTCGCCCCCCGCAGTCTTTGTCAGAGAAGAAATTGCACCCGTCCGGAATTCGAGAGAGAAAACTCCGCCTGGTGCGACGGAATCAGAACAGAAAGCTTGCTTGAAACGGAAGATCTACCGAGACACGACGGTCACACCACCCTCGACAGAGAGCGAGTCCGATGAGATTGTAGCGAGAAATTCACCTATCAGGACGTCACAGACCCAACCGGTGCCTCTTCATGCAAAAAGCACGAAAGGGGCGAAACACTACCTCTCTGACGTTGCCAAGAGCGATGGAGCACATCAGAGGAAGAATACGACTTCGAAGAATGCAAAAAAACTCAACAAACCCAAGCAATTAAAAAAAAGGGCCTCGCAGGATGAGATCGCGAAGCAAAATAGGGGAATCAGCAAGAGAGCTGTACCAAAAGCGCGGAGGCTCTGCTGTGTTGTGCTCTGAGAGTTTTTTAAGGCGTTCCCGATAAGTATATCCGATAAGTGGAATAATATCATAGAGAATGATTGTATCGTTATTATCGCTGCGGTTGGTTGTACTCCCGCTCGCGACTGAGAGACGGCAGGTCTCTCTGCGATCGAACTCCCCACGGTTCGATTGTACTGAATTCGAAATGAAACGATTGGGCCTCGACGCATAAGCTCGCATCGGCACACGCCTCATGAAGCTCCTGGAGGCAGACATTCATGATGCCGTGGAGAACAGGGGAGCACCATTTCAAACCTTCTTGTCGAGAATCGAGGAGATCCAAGGGAGGGAATCCGACCGAGTCCCTGGCGGTGCTTCCCCCTTCCGAATCTATTTCTCATTCTACGTGATACCCCGAAACATGCGTCCTCGGTTGGCTGCTTTATTTGCTCGATAGCTTGTTCGATCGCCAAAGAATTTCCACGATCAGCGATCGCATGGATCGCGCTCAGGTGAATGACGGCGGCGAATCAGCGCCAGATCATAGAACGCTGCATCCCAGCCTCCAAGGTGTGGATCCAAAGGAAAGAGAGCCTCTCCCCGAGGCATCAATCCAACGACCAAATGTGGCTCCGATAGACGCGCTCACCTTCGTGTGAAATCCTACTCATTCTTTCGACGCTCCAAGCTCTAATTGACAGAGCTCGGGATAGTTTCCTCGTGGATCCTGATAGACACGGACAGAGCGAGCCGTTGGCGCTGCGTGTTGTCGAGCGATGCTCCGGACGGAAAAAAGCTCAATCGTAGCCATTGATTGATGAGAAAGTTTTCGGATCCGAATGATGAGTAGGAGTAAGGAGTGGGGACTTGAAGCGATTAAGTCTTTTTTGACACGGGGACACTTCGCATTTCTTCCCCAACATTTCCTCAGAGGAGCGCTGCACCAGCGAGGACTGGATATCTGAAAACTACCGATTGCAGGCTCTCCCAATACTCTTCTCTGCCCTCTGGTTCCGCTCTTCCCGGGGTTTTCCGATCTAACGCCGCGCGTCGGCAGGGTCTGAAATGCGCGATGGAGAGAAATTTCACAAGTGTATCGCAGTCGGTTCACCCGCCGAGAGAGGCTCGATTCTACGATAAAATGTTCGATTTTTAAGATCCCGACGTATATATTCACGATATATGTACGCGTACAGTTTTGCGCTGTGCACCGCACGAAATTAAACTGGAACTGTCGTGAGCACTACTGCTCATGGCGCCGGCGAGGACTCGGATTTTTTGACGCGTAGCCTGTCTCCCCGATACGTCCGATGGAACGAGAAGCCGTGCCGCAAACTTCTCTGGCAATTGGGTTGTCCATTGTTTGTGATTCGAGCCTTGAACTATTACTCACGAGTGAGGGTCTGCAGCAGGTCAGAAGTCGGCCGTCAACATTGGAATCCGCTTCGAAGATTTCACCCCTATAGAGCAGGTTATGCAGGTTATGCCTTTCCATGCATCCTCCCAGAGAATGCGTAGCAGCCCGACGGTCCTTGATCGATTTATGAGAAGCATGCTCACATATGATGAACGTCCGCACGACAAGAGAATAACATCAGATGACATTTGACGACATGAGGAGCTCCGACGATGAAATCCACGCCGCGTATACGGAACAGGTCAACCCGACTCGTTTCTTCCGCTCAATGACGGAATGACGGTGTCCTCATCAGCTGAAAATACTGCATGTTTTTCATCTCTGATTGTATTCGATGATGCACAATGCTTTTGGGACCGTCGTGTTGAGGACGAACACGGGATTTGTGGTCGACTCCGCGGTTCGATAAGAGGAACGTCGTCCATTTTTGCATCCATGAAACTATACATATAGGTAACCGACATTGCTTGATGTCGAACGGAAGCCGTACATCTTGCAGCCGTGATCCATGCCGAATAGTGACCAGTCTCTTGCGGAAAGTGTTCTCTACTCAAACTAAGCATCGAAGACCACATCGAATGAGGACTCACCAAGATGTGCTCACGGAGTTTGTCTCTTTCGTCCGAGGAAATGTTCAGACCCTCCGAAAGTCCTCGGAACGATTCGTAATCCTCGTCAGACTCGAGGTTTCTGAAAGAATCGGCGGATTCTCACTTCGTTGCTCCGGAGGTTCTGCTAGGAGAACTTCTTTCGGCACGGGAGGATGTGGTTCTTCTCCACAAGCTGAGGTCTCCGGGGTTTCACGTTGGTCAGAGACATTGCCGCGATGGTAGAGAACGTCTCCGGTGTTGTCCCGCGGATGTAGAATAACTCCTTCTATCCTTCTATTTGAGAGCGCTCGAGTGGCACCGTTCCACCGACCGATCCTCTCGACCGATTCCGTATGACCGAAGCCCTTACAATTGAGTCGGCTCCACCGACATTCCTCCCTGCAGACCAGGGTGGATCGGCGCAGATCGGAAAGACCTCCTTCCCTTGGGCTTACGATTGAACAATTCGTCACATTCCCGAGAACGATTCAGCTAAAGGAGGGAGATGAAAAAACTCCGAAATTTCAGAAAAAAAATATATATATTTATTCCGTTATATACATTAAAGTATTCACAGATCTGCGTCGGAGTATCTGACTCCCGACGACAAACAGGCGTTATTCTCTACTGTTATGCAGACACCAGATGAACCTCTCTCACATTGAAATATTGTTTTCGGCACACGCGCTGCACCTCGGCGGCTTGACGCCGTCATTCTCGGCGCAGGTGAAGTGGACATAATGGTCTCGGCAGCTCACGGTTGCGCGCGGCCTCCGGCACTCAACGCATTTCACGGACTGCGACTGGAGCAACTCATCTCTGAGGAGGTCCCTCGTGATTTCCCGACCTCGAAGGTCAATGTTGTACGTCTGCCGGTCAGATTGATATTTTATCTCCATTTCTAGGACCCATCGTCAAGTGGAGTGGAGATAAATATTCACGACAACTTCTGGGAGATATGTCAGGAGGAAGAGATGCAAAATCGACTAACCACACAGCCGCAGTGAGATCGCAACGGGGCTCCCAAGAAGTCGTAGACGACTTCATAACATTCGTCTTCCGCTATCCATTTTTCACAGAAGGCGCAATCGCCTTCGAAGACTGAAAATGACGAAAATGATTCCAGCATCTTGGAGAGGAAGTGCTTCGCGAGAGCCACGTGCCAGCACAACTCGAAAACTTTCGAAACGTCCAGGCGCTTCGAGCGGGAACTTACCTCTGCTCAAGATCTCGTGGGCGAGTTCGTCCAAACCTTCCATCGCAATCGAAGTTGTTAGCTGGAGCTGGCAGCTGAAACAGGAAGTGCCGTCAACGATGAGATGCGCGGTATTTATGGCGGAGACACTCTCTTCTCTCACTCTCAGGAGGTGCTCGACGTAGTTCACAGATCAGGTGTACGTTCCCTCTCGAGCGACGTGCGAGCTAGGAAACATCGCGCATGTGATATTGACGCACTGATAGAGCTAGACATCCATCGATATAACAAACCCTCGAACGTTCTCGAAGCAAAATTTGAAATTTGCTCCACGCAGAATCGACCTTCTCCGCAGAAATATATAGGGCGCCCCTCCGAGGATATCGCTGCGAGCACAACTTTCGTGGATGAAGTCTCTGAATATTGAGAGTCGCCAATCACCAACTTTCCGGACCGAGAACTTTCCAGATGATGCGGACAAAGCGGAGGATCGCCTCGATGTCGTCCACGGTCCACGGGTCGCCTTACCTCTCCGGGCGTATCGCCAGAATGGGACTTCAATAAGACAGGCTCATTGCTATATGGTGGAAGTATTGTATACGTGTTCCGAGCTCATCGACGCGCAGTCGGGAACGCCACCCAGCGGAACTTCTACTGGAAATCGTCCATATAAAGGCTCTCGAGTCTTCTAACACGTGGTCTCTCATACTGAAAGAGATGAACGTTCGAATTCTCGAACACCACCGTAGGTCAAGTCTGGGGATGAAGAAGAATTTATGCCGATATATGCTTATCCACGGCAACTAATCACGTCGCGTGACAATCCCGTATCAGATTATTCGGCTCATTCCCTCCAACAGGACTTTCCCTAAGGTCGTTACAATCGGTCCCGTCCAGAATGAAGGCTCTCGGGCGTTGTAAGTTAACACGTGGTCTGAAATGCTGGAAGAGACAAACGTTCGAATTCTCAAACACCACCGTAGGTCGAGTTTTTGGGTGAGAGATATGTATGCCGGGATGAGCATATCCACGCCTACGAATCGCGTCGAATGGATTCGAATGCATTTCGGGGAACGGAGCGATTCGACTCAACGATTTCGGCTCTGGATTGACGGCTCGATAGCGTCACATGGATATCCTCGTTTCTCCGTTCGCTTGTTTATCCGGCGCGGGTGGCCGCGCATGATGATCGAGCGGCCGGGTGTCGGGCGAATGGTGCACGGTCCGAGACTCGAACGACGTACCACGAGACTTCTGCCTCGTAACCAATGTGTCATCCATGATAATCAGGGGCGACATCAATTGGGATGTGTTTCAAGATTCTCGGCATATCTAGTCGAAATATCTCGTTCAATGTCGGGAATATCGGATCCGCTCCTTCATTCGAGCTTTTCTCCTCGAGGTTCTAAATGGTTGTTGACCTCCGACGAGTAGGCAAGTCGAC